TGCATTTGGAAACATTGGTCACATTGTGTCGAGTGTCCTTGAAATAAAAATGCATAGAGGCTTTTCATGTTTGAAAAGAACCTTTCATATTTTTGAGATCTTTCACTGGTTAAACTTCTCACACATGTATTTCTTTGTTTCTGTGTCCTTGATTGCGTGGATTTACTTGTGTGGAGAATATTGTGGTATGTGATTCTCGATACCAGGACCATTCTCCCTTGATTTTTGCTTTGTGAGTTTCTCTGAGGTTGGTTTTCAAGACTTCCATTAATATTTTTTGTTGAAACTTGATGTATACATTGTGGGTCTTATGTTATATTGTTATTGTGATGTTTAATTTGCTTAGGTGGTTCGAAATGCTTATTATTGAACTATACACATGGCTTATGATAGATGAAACAGTGCCTAAAACTTTGAAACTTGAAGGTGAAGATTAAATGTTGAAATTGAGTTGTTGTAACTATTGGGTCTTGATTGGTAATGAGATGGGTGAAATTTGATTCGCCCAGTGTTGCCCTAAAGACTTGTATTTACCCAATGATAGCTAGAGTGATGACTTTCTTAAAGGAAAATGTTAATTTATGAAATACTTTGTGAAATTTAGGGGAAGTATGAGTACCCATAGGTAGAATAGCATGTGGGTATATTGTAAACTGATTGGGTAATGGGTAATGTTGCATGTTAGTGTTGAAATTTATGAAAAATAGATATCGGATGAAATTACCTATTCGGTGAGCTTGTCTTAGCTCGCCAAGGTGATTAGGTGAATCATTGAATAAGTCCCAAATCACCTTTTGAGTTTGAACTTGTGACCTGAGATATCTCATTCAGAGAGCTTGTCTTAGCTCGTCGAAACCAACTTGGTAATCGCCACATTGGAATAAACATTGCCATTTTGACTTTTCCTTTATAGTTGGGCACTGTCACTTTCAGCGAACTTGTCTTAATCCGCTCAAACTAACTCGGTGGATTGTTGAGTTGGATATGACTCCGCCCTTCATGCCTGAGTAAAATTAAATTGTGGTCTATCAACTTCCGCGAGCTCACGTGAGCTCACCTATCCTATTTGGCGAATTTCCTTCCAGTAGGCATGCCTTAGAACTTGTTTTGATTTTCTTTTATTTTCTGAGTTTGTTTCAACTAACCTTAACCCGATCTGTGTTTTACAATGTGTGCCTTACAAGAAATGGGTAGATAAAAAAGAAAGAGAGTTTTGTCCTTTAACTCCGAGAGAGACCATCCTCCTCCACCCCATCAAAGAGGAATAAGGGGATCATCATCAGTGATCCGTCTAAGGCTCCACAACAATAAACCACTTTGCCCTCTTATATATGTGTGGGTGAACAACCAAAGAAGGTGGTAGCCAAGAAAACGACGGACATTAAATCTAAATTTGTGCCAAACCCAGTCTCCAATGTGAGTGCCTCCAAAGTTCTCCCCATTATACCTCCGAGAGCCCTCAAAAGGCTCAAAGTAGCTGGATAACATATTATTCATGAGGACATGTGATTCTCCATAGATGGGGTGATGAGCAACGACCCCGACATCTGGGTGAACATAAGATTTCATGGGTTCGAGAGTTCCACGAGAACCCGGCCTCCTTATGTCCATGCATGGGTGAGGGAATTCTACCAGGCTTATGCAAAGGCCCTACCTAAGAAGAGAAAATGCACAGTTTGCATGCCCATGTAAGAGGTTGAAATTCATAGAAAGATAGTACCATGCCACACAGGTAAAATAAATCAAATATTGGGTACCAAGGATGACAGAACTAATACTATAAGATCCGGATGAAGCAGGGCCAAATGCACTCAAGGGAGGGTTGGCACCCCTCAGTTCAAACATTACTCTTCTGTGGATGGTTAACGGAGCAAGAATTGAGAAGAAAGATATGAACATCACCTCCCGATACTGATTTGGCTTTATTAGTAGAAACCTTATGTCATTATAAAATGATTCTATCCTACAGTATTGATCAGTCCACGATTTGGACTCATTTAGGGTTTTATTTGGATAGATTTTGTGTCCTCAAATGCTTGCTTTGTGCCAATAACTGATGTAAAACCCTTGCTTTCCAGGTATTTGGATTGAGGAACAAAGTATGGACATTAATTTTCAAAAAGGAACAAATTGAGCTAAAAGAGAGAAGAAATGAGGGTCTGGTGATCGCCAAGTCCTTTTGACGAGTCACCGAGTGGCCATTTGACCGCCTAAATTTCAGTGTGCCAAGCCCTGAAGGAGAAAATCAAGTTGGTGAGAGAGGGAGCAGTTAGCGTGTCGCCGAGTGGTTCTACGATGTAGTCTTAGATCACCAAAATTATAGAACTTGAGGATGCTGAAGACCAAAGCAAAAATGTGATGGAACTAACCAAAGGGCCTCTTTGCTGCGCCCAAAGGTGATCCCGACTTACTGCGCCGAATGATCCTTCACAGTATATTTTTGGCGACTATAAATACATTTTCAAACATTATGTTTAGTATCAAATTTATTCTGAACATTTATTAGAATAATTTTTGAGTTTTGAACTGAGAGTAATAAGACAATTTTTCCTTAGCTTTTAAGAATTGAAGTTTCCCATTTTTGAGAAATTGGAAGTGGGTCTTTGAGATTCTTCAATTTGGACTTTTGTAAAGACAGAATTAATCTAATCCAGTTGATGGAAACACAATTTGGTAACGATTTCTATCTTCTTAGGGTATGATTATGTGATTATGGGCAGATTTAGCTTATGGGTATTGTTAATTGTTAGTTTAAATGTTGTTTAGAAGTGATTTCAATCAGGAATTGTGGTTAAAATTAAAGGATTGTAGTTGCAAATGCAATTTTACCTTCATGTTTTTAGCTTGCTCGAGAGAGAGTTTTTAAAACCAAGATTACTGAATTGATGGTTTTTGGGTATTGGGCTGTCATGGGTTCAGCTCGAGAGAGTTCAGAGACAGCC